CAGACATAGTGGAAACTAGAAAAGCACGTCTGGGAACGATATGTACCAGCGTCCAGCTAGCGGCCGCCTGTGGGGGAATGAGGGAGGGCGGGGAGAGGAATTGGGAGGTGAGGACTTCACCTGTGTCTGAAATGCTGCATTTCTTCAACAATACCAACAAACAGGTTTTAATCCGGTACAGCAAAATGGTAACATCTGTTTAAGATGTTGAGTCCTTGAATATGCCAGAATTATTTTCTGTACTTCATAATTTAAAAAGTTAAAGAAATGTAGAAATTCATTGTAGAAATTTAGAATGAAATGAAACTCCTGTTCCTCCTCCCCGTAGTTAGGCTGAAGTCTGACCGACGGAGACACGGTGCGGACGCGGCCCCACGGCCGTGCTCCGCTGGGCAGCCTCGTGGTGAGGGGCCGGCGCGTTGGGTTCGTTTCCGAAGCCTAACAGCCTCCATGGGGCCCAACTGAGGGAATAATGGTTGAAACTAGGGGGAGGATTCGGCACGATCCTCTGAAGCAAAACATGAAAAGTTTAAGCACGCTAATAAAAGCCCAAGTAAATACTGTAGAAAAATACGGCCTGAGATGTGAATTAGCATCAGTCAGGAAGCCATGGTGGAACTGAGCCAGAGTCATGAGAACTGTAGCTTTTTTTTCTCTGGGAGTAATACCAGCTGTCATCACATTTCTAGATCATTCAATCACATAATGCGTAGCTCCATCTATACAGACAACTAAAAATAAGCGGCATGCAGTTCTTATTTGAGTTACTTCTGTTCATCACAATCAAAATTTTAAAATGCTGTTTGCCCAGGCTGATGTTGACATCTTGCGAACTAGGGAAACTAATACGACAATTGGGGAACAAGACAAAGTACTGAGGAGTAGCATCGCACCTCATCACAGAGGGTCACCCACGTAGAAAAGAAGGAGAACAGGAAGAGCCCGAAGCCTGTACTGCCTGGCCAGCTGGCTGCACCTCGGGCGCGGACGCCTGTGCAGTTCTGGCCTGTGGTGCGGCCCCAGCACCTCCGGACAGGGATCGTTACGCATCTGTCTGAAAAGGCTTTGCTTTGGTCAGTGTGATTTGAATCAGTATATTGTTTCCCCTTCCAAGTCTCCTACTTGAACCTTGTTCTTTTTTTTTATTATGAAAACTTTCAAACATACTGAAAAGTTGAAGACATAGTATCCTACCATCTAGATTCTACAATATTGACCTGTCTTTGAGATACTCGTATTCAATTATAATCTAGAAGAGCAAGATTTCTATGTATTTTTCAACAGTGAATAATCACCCACTTCTCAAAACATATTAAAGAGAATGAGTAGTTGTTAAAGGAGAACGCACCAATACCTGCAGCTTTACACATTTCTGGCAATACAGAAAAAGCATTTTGAATATGTAGAAGATGTGCAGTTTTCTCGACTCTACATCATCGAGTCAGATCCTGGGGAGGGTGTTGAAGAGCAGAAGATGAGTGAGGAGGTCCCGGCCCCCAAGCGCTCACAGTGTGTGCAGAGAGGGGCGGCTGCACGAACAAATCACACACCTTGTGACCGAACGGTGCGCCGAGGACCCCAAGGGGGAACCAGCTGGCTCTTGGAGATCAGTAATACTCTTGTAAAAGGAGAGCACGAGCGGTCCAGGGCCTCGGATAAGTGGAGGTTTGTCCGATGGGGAAGATTTCAGAGGCAAAAGCTGAGCAGTACCAGCAGCACAGCACAGGGCTGGGGCAACGGCTGGAGGGTGGGGTGATAGGAAGAAGGCAGAGAGGTGACGTCTGACTGGTTTTTAGGGAGAGAATTCTGCCACAAGACGAATACGGGGGAGGCCGCAGGCCAGGAGTTCGGGGCAGGGTGTCCACCCCAGCAGCCACGGGGGTGGACCTGTGCGTCTGTTGAGCGTGTGCTGCGTGCCCCACCCGTGATACAGCAAGCGGACGGACGATTGCCCGCTGCCACCAAGCTAACAGTCACGTGCCGCCTGCCTGTCTGCCCATAGGTCTACCAACCACTGGCCTTTTATGTCACCCGCTGTTTTCTCCCTCCTTATTCTGTCACCTTTCAACCTTCTCATACTAGGAAGCTGCTGTGTTCATTCCTCCCTCAGATCGGATGAGAACCTGAAGAAGTTCATCTAGAGATAAAACAGAGAAAAGAAACCCCATCTTGTTTTGTCTTTATATCCCCAATGGCTGACACAATGTCTCGAATATCCTAGGCTTTTTATAATTCAATGAATCACTGAGATATTCAGGAAGTAAAACGCACAGGAATGAGTGAGCGATAGCATGAAGCGGGGGTGAAAAATGGAGATGACAAGAATGGCTCCGGGGTCCCCTGGTTGTAGTGACACAGTGGACGGTGATCTCGTCACCCGAGACAGGAAATAGAGGATGAAGGAAATGGGAGAGGAGAGGTGAGAGGACAGGGTTCGTGCCTGACATGAAGTCGGAGGTGTCTGTTCGCTGCCGACGTGCTGCTTACTCTTCAAAAGCTTCGTATATAATTGAGTTGAACTTTGATTCACAGGGGCAGGAATACAACCAGAATTGTTCCAATGCTGAAAAATAAGTTGACTAGCCCCATTGGCCAAAATTTATAATGTTTGGGAAATTCTTTACTCAGAGCATGCCTCCCTAGATACATACTATTTGGAACGTATCCGTTTTGGATTTATTTTTAGTTGATTCATGTAGCATCAAAGGAACAAAGAAATGATAACTAATAACTTCTGTCAGTAATATTGGTCAGAGAATTAAAAAGGACATATGATAGAGGTAATAAGGCTAGAGGAGGAAATTTAAAAAAAAAAGAAAAGAAAAACAGGACCAGAAAGAAGATAGGACTCATAAAAAGAATTTTTAAGCTCTTTCATTTCTCTGGATAATATGGTGGGTTTTCTTGGTTTGTTTGTTTATTTGTGTGGCTGTAATCCAAATATCTACTTTCCCTTGGATTTAATTTACTTTGTATATTGTCTTATTTGACAACCTAAACTCATTCTCATAATAATGCAAGTTTTCATATGGAGATCATATGGTTAATGTATTATTAATAAAGTAAGCCTTAAATAAATTTGATTCCTCTGCTATTTAAAGTTTGTCTATTCACTGGGTTCTGTGATCAACGATTTTAAATCCCTATCTTCACAATGCCAAAATAACCATGTATACCTCTTTTGCTTTTTTATGGCTGTTTTTTTAAATTCTTCTGTGCAGAAGCAGGAAGGTTTTATAAGACATATTATTATAACAATTCTAAGTTTGTCAAATTACAAGTTATGTAAAAGACTCAACTGTGCATTGTGCTGCATTTGAACCAGCATTGTAAAATGTGTTTGTGTGCAGTATTCTGACAACCAGAATACATTTTAAAGAAAAAGTAATATCATTTAAAATATTTTCTTCATCACGGTAGTCCTCAGCGAGCAGAGAAGGGCTTTTCTGAAGTGAGATTAGACACTAGAGCCACCTTCATTTTCTATGCACGTGAACGGAGAGGGCTTGAGGTTATTAGTTGAAACCGAGTAACCTTTCCAGGCTTTCATCTCTTTCTTTTCAAATTTGAATATGAAAAGCATATTCAAGTCAAAGACCATCACTTTAATGACATTTGGCAGTCATTTGATTTATTAGGTTTTAGAAAAAATTTTCCTTTAAATATTTCATCATACTATGCTAATCCTAGTAATATTGCCAGCTGCAGCCTTGTACCTGTATTAGTGGAGACAGAATGGTGTGGAATTTTCTCTGTCATCCTAGTAAAATTTCCATGAATCTACTGAATAATAAAATAACCTTATTGAAATATTCAGATTTGGGTTTTTAGTTAAAGTGTCTTAGAATACATAATAAAAGAAAATGTCTTTTGAAAGAAGGGGGTAAAATTACTTCATCAAATATTGAGGGGGTTGGACAGCAATGGAAATTGTTCTTTATGGGGATATTTTTAACAGTAGGATACTTATGCTTTTCAGTTTGATTAATTATATTATATGCTTTGAAATATCTAAGTAATCACTACGGTAAATTTATGTACTGATTTATATTTAACAATGAATTTTTAAAAGTTGGTCATATAAACAGGTCTAATTTTCAGGATTTCCTCATTATGATTAGTAGTTGTGTAATTTCCAGCAGCATGCCTGTGAATATAATAAAGGGGACTAAAGATCTAATTTAAAACTATAAAAACAAACATGTAACTGAGGTGTCACCTTGATGTCTCATTTTTAAGTCATAATCTGTTATTTGTTTTAAATCATTACTCGAGGAAACGCGTGTGACTCCCATAAGTCTGTGACACCAAAATCTATTAAATAAGAATTGGAGGGCAAATTACACTATCAAACAGATACATACTTTATTTGTTAATTCTGTAAAAGATATAAAAATAAACTGTGAGAAAATATGTTAAATTAGATCAAAATTTTATTTTCCTTTGTTTGAAAACTACTTACTGAATGAAATGTGGCAGAATATATAAGAGAGTGAATTGTAGGCTCTGCTCTAGTTAATGCGGATTCATATAGCTACATAAATTAGCATAATAGCTATGAAGTATTCAACAGGCTTTGATCTCTGAATAACCCAAACTTTCTCAGGTACTGTAGATTAAATAAAAGCAGTGATAAACATGTACTTCGTTACATGGTTTGAAACAAGGCCAAGTGATACTTGCCATTCTGAAAGCAATCAGAGATGAAGATCTCATAATCTTCCCCCCGGTGACTACTGGTGGGGTATTTATAGCCTCAAATGTAAATCAGGGGACTCTTGCCCTGACACCGTTAACTTCAGACCCTGGGGCTTTAGAATCTCATCCTGTCTCCCTCTGTCGTGAATCATCTGTCATGAGTGACTAAACAGTAGTGTGCAGTGCCTTCCAAAAGAAAAAACCATAGGCCTTCGTCTTTTATTGAAAATTGATAGTGGAAAAAGAGTAAAGGGTTTTTTTTGCTTATTTGTTTCTTTGTTGTTGTTTTGCTTTTTAAACAGACGTCAGAAAAGATTCGGATTGAGATCATAGCTCTGAGCCTCAGTGACCCCCGAGTGACCGCGGACGACGCCGTCCGGCGGCTCTTCGTGGAGTGCCGGTTCTACAGCCTCCCCGCCGAGGAGACCCCCGTGTCCCTCCCCAAGCCCAAGGTGGGCCAGTGGGTCTACTTCAACTACAGCCACGGTGCGTATGGCTCACACTGATCCGCAAGGCCCAGGGAGAAAACACGCTCCTCTCCTCTTCCTAGGAGATTACAAAGTCTTGTCAGAATAAATGGGTAAAAGTCAAGCCTGTAGCCTAAGGATAAAGAAATTGAAGTAGAATTGAAGGAAATTTTGAGATAATACTGAAGTTAAAATGAAAACAGTGGGAGAACAATGTTTCTGAATGTTCCTGCTATCTCACAGTACCATTTAAAAAAATGCCACCTAGAACTACAGTTGAATTTAATTGAAAAATACAATATTTCAAGGGGGGAAATGTAGTAGTTTATTAAGCATGTGGATTTGAATGATTCAGTGGCCTAATTTTTTTCAGCCTTTCTGGTCAATGGGATCACACAGATGTTTCTATAACATAGGTCTATATCTCTCCTGGTGTCTGGATGTTCAGGGTTTTAATTGAGTGACATAGTCTTACAATACCTTCCTTCATTTAGCCCACACATCCATTTTTAGCAGGTGGCAGGTTTACTCTTAATTTAGGGCTTTATCAATCAGCTAACTGACATGTAAGTCTACTGGACCAGTACAGATCCAAAAGGCATTATTACAAATGTTTGTGATTGCTTTTTTTTTTAAGCTGGCATTTTTAGAAATGTGTTTATTGCTTGAGACCGTAATGGCAATAATCTTGAGCACTTAGATATCTGTCCTACTCTCCCCTGTATCCACAGTGCTTACTAGTGTATGTGAACTCGGGCAAGATGTTTGAATTTCATGGTTCCCTGTTTTCTTATCTGTTGGACAGTGTGCTCCCTCAGATCCATTCCAGCTGAAACTCTATAATTCTGTAATAGCAGGCGGGTTGAGAAATCACATGAGAAATAAGTTGTGTGGTCAGGACCAGAATCTGATCCCTCCCTCCTTCCTTTCATTGACTGGATGTGACAGAAACTTTTCCAAAAAATATTTTCTCAAGCTTCCTATAGATGTGTTCACTGCAAAGTACCAGAAAAGTAAACCATATCAAAACATTATTAGAAATGAAAGAACTGTTTTGTCAACTAATTTTAACGAAGATACGCCCAAGAAAAGCGACAGACTCTCTGGTTTCTTTATAATTCTTTGTAGAGGCCAGCAGTGGAAAGTTTGGTTGGAATGGCAACACAATTTTTTTTTAGAAATTGATTGTACATTGAAAAACTTGGCCATGCCCCAGAGCAGATGTTTCCATTTGCTTAAGGAGCAATGCAAATCATTCTTTGGACGAGGCCCGTGATACATGCTCAAGTGTCCTGAATTTTCGTACATTTTTACATGGTGACCTGGATCCGTTTGAGGCTTTTAGTTAGTTGGTTGGTTGGCATTGGTTTTGTTTTTGCGTGTGTGTGTTTGTTTTTTTCCTTTTACTGCAAGGTACCCTACTAAATAATTGGTATTTTCAGAATTGCTTATATTTTCTATGAATTAGCCATATGATGTCAACAAGAAAGTCAATAACCTTTTAGAAATGAATTCAATATAGTATTTCCCTTTCCTCAACTTCTGTTCCTACCTGTTGAGGTTTGACAATGTAGAATTTTTAAGATTGAGGGGATAGGAATGTACTTCGTGCTTAAAAGCAAAATAATGCTGTTTTATAGCTACTGAATCATTAACCACTAATTTTTTATATCTACTGAAAAATTAGGCCACTGAATCATTCAAATCCACATGCTTAATAAACTACTACATTTCCCCCCTTGAAATATTGTATTTTTCAATTAAATTCAACTGTAGTTCTAGGTGGCATTTTTTTTTAATGGTACTGTGAGATAGCAGGAACATTCAGAAAAAATTGAAGTCCTAGGTCATCATGAAACTTAAGAAATAATATTACCTTATAGGTTTTATTTTATTTTCCACTTAAGTATGACATAATGAAAGTGTTTATTTTTAAATTATTATATTGATCTCTCCTTCATTGAAGGAGAATCTCCTTGAACCTTTGGTTAATAAGTAACCAATCTAATCTAATTATCATCATCATCTACTGTTCACTTGTTACTTGTTATAAAAGATCAGTATAATGTAGCCTTGCATCTTCCAAATCTTACACAAGTTGATGAAAGTAATTTTACTTCCAAGCCAACTTTTAAACTGGCAGGGAAAGTTTAGAAGGACAGGCAGTATGGGCCGTCCCCTCGTTGAACACTGTGCTGCAGAAGGGTGACCTGAACCTCTCCGTGACCTCAGACTGCGCGATGGCCTGAACATGTCCTTTCAAAGGGAGCTGTACGCTGAGGCCTAAATTAGGTACCTAACATCAGAGGTTGAGACCAGCGATCCCCAGGACTATTCATAACCCAGTTCAGTCTTCATTAAGAGATGCGAATGCCAGTTTCAGCTACACACACAAAAAATCTATCTTCTTTGGGCTACTAACACTGAAAAAACATTGCTAGGCAATGGTAGCAAGAACAAAACAATCATATCTTATTGGGCTTGAAAATTTTGCTGAGAAAGTAAAAAAAAAAAAGAAATAGTTTGAAAAAAAGATTAATGGTAGGTCTGAAGAATGTTGTCTGGGCTGAATAAAGCTTCTAAGGAGTTGGCAGTGGGAAGAATAAAGATGAATGAAATCGTCCAAAGTTTTTATGAGACTTTTACAGATCGAGGTCCTTAGTTTCTGAGCATTGAACAGTCCATCTTTTGGGACAGTTAAAGTTTAATTGAAAATATGAAAAGGATGCGGAACTTCAGGTTTTGTTGCTCATGGGGGGATAAACTTGGCAAAGAAAGGATTGTTGTGGGGAGGGAATGACAACACTTTAACACAATAGTTATCTGAGATTAAGATCATCAACCCTTTATAATTAAACCCTCTGCATTTCTTACTTCTGCCAAATGACATGGGGAGAGAACAGAAGGGTTTCTGCAGACTGCAGAAGTGAGGGATATGTCTTTAATGGTAGACCATCCAGAGTCAACTCAAAGTATTGATACACGGCCTGCTGGTTTGTATCTTTTTGAGACAGATGCTTTCGGTTAGTTTGTGTCCAGTCTTAGCAAGTCCTAAGCAAATGTGATTTCTGATGAAAATGAAAGGTAAATAGCTAACCTTTTGGGAGTTCTGATTTTTCTCATATTCACCAGAATTGCTCTTTAAAGGATGTGTTTGAACTTCTGAAATTGTAGACCTTTTTAACCATCTAGCTCCAGAAGACAAAATGGGTGTCCTTAGGACCGTGACCTAATTAGGAGTGGCCACCTCGTTTCTGCTTCCCACATGTTCAATACCAGCGTCCACTAGTTCCTTCCATCCAAATACTAACCCGGCCCGACCCTGCTTAGCTCTGAGATCAGACGAGATTGGGCGCGTTCAGGGTGGCGTGGCCGTAGACAACTAGTTCCTGATCCCATTCAAAACTGGGCAAAGCAACACCAGGCTCAACCGCAATCCTCAGCGTGCGGTATCCTGACCAGCAACAGCACCTGGAAGGATGTTAGAAATGCAAATTCTCAGGCCCTACCCCAGACCTGCTGAGTCAGAACCTGGGGCTGAACTCAGTAATTTTAGCAAGCCCTCCAGAGCTTTCTGATGCACGTTAAAGACCAAGAATCCCGGGCTAGATTAACATGCCCAGCCTAGGCCTTGTTTGTACAAGGAGGAGAGCTGAGTTCTCATTCGGTACACCTTTGGAGAACTAAGCTTATTCTTAAGTAGCTTGATTTTTAAAAATAAATAAATAAAAGTTTAAAGTGTTGAGCCGAGAGAGCTATTTAAGGCATCTGGACCAGGTGTTGGTTAGCCCTCTCCCTGTATGAAAGGTAAAAGGCAGACAATATCCCTTGTGCGGTTAGGGAAGGCTCTCGAACGCTCTCACACTCCAGTCTGTGATAAGCGCCTGGTTGCAGCTTAGACAGCAGGCGAGTTGGGGCCTTGGCTGGAGGAGGAGGAGTTACAGTGGGGAGGTTAAGAAGGCGGGCTCTGGAGGCAGACATGGCTGGATGCAGGGTCTGGCTCTGCCACTTTCTAACTAGGGGCCAAAATGAGGTTCACCTCCCAGCGTTGCTAGAACTCGTCTATTCGCATGGCTTTTTAGCAGTAAGTAAAATGCTATATTTACAAAGTACTCTGAACCCTGTATTCCTGTAACTCTTCAGTGGCCTACGTGATTGGTCACACTTACTAATATGGCACGGTGCAAAGAGCACTGAGCTGAAAGTCATTTGACCTTTGTTTTTCTCTGTTGTCACCGACACTCCCCCGCACAGATGCCTGCGTCTCTCACCTCAAGTGCCTGACTCGGGCCGGCACATCTTCGGCTCTCAGTCAATGTTTGCTCAACTGAGCCCAACGATGAAATCATTTGATAGCATCATAGTGTGAGGTTGAACTAAAATTGTCCAGGGAAACATTCTCAGTATGAAATATGTTTGTTCCCTGTGGAGCCTGGTTTTAGCGTTGTCAGTGTATCAGTCACTCTTTGTGTACTTCTGATCAGGAATAATCTGTAAGTTGAGATCTGGTCTCAGGGGAGCCTTTACCTCCCAAGTCACACCTGGGGGAAAAAAAAAAAGTCTTCAGAAGCTAAGACAACAGCCAAAAGGCTGCCAGGCCGAAAAAAAATAATCCGGGTGAAAATTGGCATGTTCGCCCTCGGAGATGCCATCTTCCCCGAGTGCAGGCATTTATTTACAGCCTCAGGTGTTCAGGGGCTTCTTCCTGGTGGGACTCCTGGGTCGGCTAAGTCAGCTCTGGCGTCCTCCCGCAAGCCAGCGTGCGCTTTCAAAAGCCCTTTTAAGACCCACTTGTCCCCCTGAAAAGCCACTCTCTCCCTTCCGCCATGTTGCTCTCCCCAGGCCCGCCCCCCTACACCAGCGAATGTCAGTCTGTGGGTTCCCTCCGCCCCGCACTCCACAGGCCCCTTTTACTGCGTGTTGTGGCAGGAAAGGAGGATTAAATTACTGAGCCTGTCAGGAAGGACAAGCTCTCTGCCATACGTTATCATTACCACTCGCTTCGTGGGTAAAAGAAAATGCAGTAAATCCCTCAAATACAAAGCAATAAAGACCTCCGGCTTTTACTGTCATGACTGCCAGCGCCATTAACAGGCAGTGACAGCGACGCGGCACTCTTAGATGTTGCTTGTATCCTTTCTGACAGCGCGCACGTAAACCTGCCAGTGGCATGGCATCACATCACATGACTGCTCGGGTTGGATTCCGGCCTCCCGAGCGGCTGGCTTTTCCCAGGTGTGCGAGTGCGGTGCCGTGCCTGCCTCTCTGAAAACAGCTATTGACAGAGATAGAGCATGGGACTCATGCAGTGTATTCCCGAGCAACTTCCTGTGTGGACTTTTTTTTTTTTTTTTTTTTGGTACAGTGATCTACGTGGATAAAGAAAACAACCAAGCGAAGAGAGACGTCTTAAAAGCTATACTACAAAAACAAGACATGCCTCATAGAAGGTACCTTTAAGCCTTCTGCATTATCTGATGGTTTACAGGGAGTGAATCTCTGCAGCAAGGTGCAGAGCAGAAAGCACAGGGCGAGGAATCAGAGCAGGTGATCTGCCGGGGTCCCTCCCCCCTAGAAATACAGGAGCCCCGCCTGCCATCCAGTGTATCCGTGCGGATCCTATGGTGCTTTGAAAACCAAAAGACTGTACAGTGCATGCAAAGCGTCCCATTGTCGTTCAGGTGCCCCTCTGTGCTTGCAGGGAGGGCGCCCTCTGGGGCCAAATGGCCTGAGTGTAAATCCCTGCTCCATCACCTCCTGGCTGGCTGACCTCGGACAAGTCGCCAGGCCCCATTTTCCTCGTCTGTGAAACGTAGGTAATAATGCCGCCGCCGGGGGCTGTGGTAGAGACTAAAGATAGTACGCAGACGGTGAGGACACTAGCACTGGACAGGAAGTTAGGACACAATAAGTGTTAGTTGCAATCCGTGTAAGTAGTAGTAATATTAATACTATTATTTGAAGAGCTCACCAGCCTTTCGGACTAATTTTTACTTTACTCTCACCGTATAATAATTCACCATTTGATTTTTTTTTCCAATGCATTGTGGGAGAGGCGAATTTGAACAGGACACTTTGCAATTCTGGTTCAGTAGGGAAATTATACACTTTTCAGGAAGGAAAAGACCTGACCTTGGTAAGTTTACCCTTTTGTGTGGGCTCCCATCCACGCAGTTTGAGGAGTATCTCGGAAACGCCCATGAACCCCTGAGCTGGCTCCCCTGGCAGGCCTGAGGGACCCTTGATCTCTTCTTACCTGATGGGAGAAAGATGGCTCAGCCTCACACTGCCTCACACTGCCTCAGAAACAGAGAGGCGCGCAAGTTCCTTCTATCCCAGAGGTCATGGAGTGAGTATTAAAAACCTATTTTTCAGAGAGCTCCCACACTGACATTTTATCCTCCGTTTCAAGAAAGGAGCCTGGAATGCTTAGCTCTTGGCTCTGAGAGTAGTTTTTCATTAACGCCTTGAAATGTGTGTATCATCTGTGCTAACACCCTGGTACCTGGCCAAGTTCTGTGTGTCACAGGATGGTAGAGAATCACTCAAGTTCACTTACTTGCTTTGTGGGCATTGACTTCTTTCAAGGCCCCTTCAAATACCACCAGACCCCCGGGGTTCTCCCGGGTCACGAAGGACCACACAGCACAGCGGGCCCTGTCGTCTGCTTCCCTGCGGTCCACATGCTGGGCTGTCTCTGCCCAGGATTGAGCTCCGTCCCCGTGGACGAGCCCTGGGCGGGACCAGCTGATCTGCCCAGTCGTATTCGCCCACTTCTGTGTTCGCTTTGTTTCTGGAAGGTTGGTGCATACTGTAAGTAGCACTTCTTGTTAGGGCTGAAAATGTTGTCTCCTCAAAAGGGTTTATTTTTAAAAGCACAACTTCAGCTTTAATTTTAAACCTGCCTTTCATGAGAAGATCTGCATATTTGCACCAACATAGTTTTAAAACTAAACAAGTCCACAGCACCCAAATCCCTCTGCACCGTTCCGAACCGCTGGGGGCCCAAACGAGCTTTTGTCTATGTTGGTTTTATCAGTATTAATCCTCTTACAAATTCAAATGGAGGGTCTTTTAATATTAAAAATAAACTCATTAATGTCACCATAAATAGCATATTTTAATGAAAACCATTTTCCAGAACAAACCAACAAAGAGTCCACGGTAACTGGAGAGGCCCCCTCTCCACCGTAACTGTTCTTCTGCAGACCCCTGACGGCCTGCAGGGAGGCGCAGGCCGCTCAGCCTGGGGAGCCGAGCGAGGGACAGCGCGCCCCGCAACCTTCCGGGCTGCGGACGCCTCACCTGGCCCTGCGCTCCTGGGGCTGCCACCGGGGAGACAGCCCTGTCCCCCTTCCCCCCCTCGGCAGCGTTATTTTCTGAGGGAAAAAACAGGGGGTTTACATTTACATTTTTCCACAACCAGAAGACAGTTGTTGTTCCAGGGGAACACTCAGAGGTCACAGTAGGTAAAGCACTTCCTGGCTGAGAAGCATGGATGTCCTCCAGCAGCAGCCCTCGGGGACATCGGCGTGCTCCTCCTGGGCCGCGCTTGGAGAAGTCGGGCCCACCTTCCATGATGTGTGTAAAATGGTATACACTGCGTAAAGCATTCTGCATAGCACCGTCACTTCCTGTCCCATGCTACACTTGGAGATATACAATTGTCACTTTAAAAGGGAGGTGGCACATTGAAATGAGACTTTAAAAAATATTTATTTGAAGTCGTAGTATTTTATGTGTCGTATTTTTACCTTCCCCACTCTGCATTCTTTACAACTATTGTGTGAATAGCTATTACCTTTGGCTTCAGTGTAAAGGATTTTTGTTTCCTGACATGGACTTAGTAACAGTGAAATGTTGAACACTTATTTTCAGCAACTTAGTTTAAACTATTGTGTTTACCTGTGTGTTCGGAAAGCATATGATTTATGCATATTTTTCAAGGCCCAGTTTCTCAGAGACTGGGATTTTTATCCGAGAACGTTATCTAAGAAACAAGCTTCTTTTTTCACTTCTGATTTGGGATGGATACGTTTTGAAAATGGTTAAAATTGTAGTTTACAAGCACCCGTGGTTTACGCTACAGGGCCAAGACATATCAAAAGAGAGCTTCACTCTAAATTCCCGTCATGTGGCTCGTCCAAGTGCGTTTGGCCTCAACATATGTCACTGATTCAAATCAGTTCCATTGGAGCCCTACAATTATGTGCTTAAAAGTAAAATAAAACTTGGACGCTGTGATTGTAAGTTACGAGATTGCTGAAGTAAAACAAATATTTGATATTTCTGCTGGGCAGAGCTGCAACATTTATCTAACATGATTCAGGGAGCATGATCTCTCTGTTTTATAGAACACACGCGGCTGATGAAATTGCTTCTCAGCAACTCCAAAGGTGTGCCTTTCTATAGAAAATACTGAATTTTTATTGAAAACACTGCCCTAACTCCATGGTCTTTATTCACTGGATCCTGTTAGCCTTAAAAGTAGATGTATCAAAGTATGAGCAGATGGTGTGTAACAGCATGAGCATCTGCTGCTTCTCCACCTCGTAACTTCTTCAGATTCTAGAGTTGCCTGTTCATCGGGGCTCAGAAAAGTAGATTACCGTTCATTTGCAGGCCTGGTGTGCTATAATCTAGTAGTTCGTATAATAACTTGCCTAGCCTAATATCATTTTCTTTTTATTGGCATAATGGGGAATTTCAAGATTTCACCTGCAGTGATAGAGGCCCATTGGGGAGTTCTGCTTCCCGGCAGTTTTCTCCATCTCTTTCCTCCCCAGCATCCGCTTCACCGTGGTCAGCGACCCGCCGGAGGACGAGCAGGATCTGGAGTGTGAGGACGTGGGCCTTGCGGATGTCGACCTCGCTGAGGTGTTCGAGGGAGGGAGAGATGTCGTCGAGCAAGACATCGATGGTATGGGTCAGAGCCTTGCTCCGTTCATACAAGCAGCAGTCGCTGAAATCCAGACTCTTGATTAAAACCTCCTTTCACGGGCTGCGAGGACAGTGAGTCACACATGAGTTGAATTCTTTGCAACTCAAGCTGACATTTTGTTGAAGCTGGAAGTCTCTCCCTACATCCCTCCCCATTCTTCCCCTCTGCCTGCCTTTGAATCAACGGAAATTTTAAAATAATTAGTTGTGTTTCACAAGGAATGATTGATTTTGTGTGTACTGGGGGGAGGTGTGACAGACTCGGCCACTGGGTGTTTCTCGTGCTGTGTACGGAAGCCTCTCGCTGTCGAGCCTTCTTTCGGCTAAGGAACGCGCCTCTGAGGGAGCGTTTCAGTGTCCTTTGCGAGGCTTCCCTTAAATTCATTGGTGCAGCCGGGTGACAGAGTCCCTGGAAACCCCACTGAGTAGTTTGGGTCCCTTATTTCCCACCAGGGTTCAGAGAGGACAGAGATTCCTGGCCCAGTACACACTGCCGGATTTCACCAGGTGTGGGGCCCAGCGAGGCTTAACTTACGCCCTCACTCCTTGTAGGACATGTTTGGAACGTGCTAAAGAAACTGCTCTTTAGGAATCAGGCTTTCAAAAATCATTATCGGGGGTGGCCTGGCCCATGCACAATATATGGACAAATGAGGCTGAATCCTAGTCTCATTTGCCAAGATAGCAGAGCCATCTCTGGAAGAATGTACATGGTTAGTTTACTCATTCATCCGTGCATTAAATGAATTTAATTAAGCACCTAAGTCCCAGGCACACAGTCCAGCCATGGTTTATATGTCAAGCTGCTCGTCCTGCATATGTGTCAAGTGCTCAAAAGTCAAGCCCTGGCTGATGTGGCACAGTGGGCTGGGCAGCATCCTGGGAACTGAAAGGTCACAGGTTCGGTTCCCAGTCAGGGCACATGCCTGGGTTGCAGGCCAGGGCCAGGTCCCGGTCCCGGTTGTAGGCATATGAGAGGCAACCGATAAATGTTTCTTTGGCACATCAATGTTTCTCTCCCTCCCCCCCCCTTCCTCCTGTCCCCTCTCTGTAAAAAATAAGTTAAAAATAATTTTTTAAAAAGTGCTCAAAAGTCATGATCAAGTCAGGTAAGTAACCAAATTAGACCAAATAACCAAGTTAGAAACCTGTCCTGAGAAATTTTGATAAGCTAGACCTATGTAATTACAAGACAGTTGGTCACAACTTTGACAGCCACAGAAGAAAAAGGTGAGAGAATTAAAATATTAACCTAAACCGCCCTATTAAAGACAGCCAGGAGCAAGAGAGTCTGACAAAAGTAATCAAAATTATATATGCTTCATAGTCTTAATCTTTTTTCCAGTCAGTTCTGGTTAGCAACCCATGCTCTCATTGTGCAAGACTGCACGTGACCACACAGGTCTGACGTAGGCAGCTGCTGCCGCCGTGTTTTGGAAAAGGCAGACAATTAAGCACTAGTCTGTTGGGGACTGTAATGCTTGGTTCCACGCCTGGCAGAGCAGGGAGCAGTCCCACAGAGGCGAGCTCCCCGGGGAGTGCGCGGGGCCCCTGGCGCCCTGCAGCATCCCTGCCTCTTCATTGCCCACCTCAGTCTTTGTATTCCAGGCTCTGTTTGGAGGTTCTCCTACAGATTCTATCTCAGAATGAAGCCCGTGCATGCGTGCGTGCGTGCGTGCATACACACATTGTAAAGTTCAAGTAAAACCACAGGAAACTACGTAGACTCAAAAGTGCTATCAAACTCACGAAGTCCAGGATTCTGGCCTCGAGTCACACTAGTAAGTATCAGTGTGCACAGAGGGGCGGGTCGTAGGCCCTGACCAGCATCCCGCCTGGCCCGCCGTGGGCCGCCGAAAGCGGCAGGTTCTCCCGGGAAGCCCCTGTACAGTCAGCGTCTCCTGTTTTCCCACAGCGACCACCATGGACCCTCAAAGCCAGCCCGTAGGCCTTACTATTCCTGAGTCTGCCATTCTCACTTTTTCTACTTTCACATTAAACCTAGTATAAATAGAATGTTCTCCTTGGAAAGAAATAGCCAACCCAAATTAGGATCATGTAAGTTCTTGACAATAGTTAGGACAAATTCTTCTTTGTTGTATCTTGATCCCTTTTAGACTTACTTCTCACTAGCTTAGAAATTTGAGCTCAGTGTTGGAACAGGTACCCTTTCCACTAGGTAAACGTCATGATTATTAGCTCATTAGCTTTAGCTCCTTGAGCAAAATGTGCGCATACACACAACACATCTAAAATGTATGTCTGCACACACACGGCCACTTTAATTTTTAGATTTCTGAGGTGCCAGTGAACTTCGAACTTTTATAGAAGTACTGTCATCTTTTTAACTACTGCTTCAGCCACCCTACCTGAATAAAAATCTGTTGAATGACAGTAACATTTTTCTGCTCTTTTTCTCCCTAGTGTTGGACGCCCGCGCGGGTGGTGGAAGGATAGGCCAGCTCCGCGTAACAGTCGAAGCGCTGCAGGCCCTCCGGTCTGTCTACGAGCAGTACAGAGACGACTTGGAGGCTTGACGGAGGCTGCTCCAGAGCGCCCCCTGCTCCCGAGTAAATGCCCCCGTGAAAGCCCTTAGAGGAGACGCGTGTGGTTGCTCTGGTGTATGTGACCTGTAGTTCATGGGGAGCTGGGCGGGGGGCAGCTGGGTTTGAAGTGTTGGGAGTTTTATATCCTCTTTCATTGGTTATTTTCCTATTCCTGCCTTCCCGTGCCTGCCACCCCTCAGGATTTCAGACGCCACAGTGGGAACACCTGCGCGATAATTTATACCTGCACAATGGCATAAGAAGGTCTACTTGCATTTTCAACAGTTTCTTAGGAAGAACTGAAATGCAAGTCCCATTTTTATTTTTAATAAGCAAAAAGCATACATCTTAGAAAACCTATGAAAAAGAAATACTTCCATGTTATCCCTAATCGTCCCACTAAGTGGAACGCCTATGATTAGCCTCATTAAGAGTGTTATACTGTGAAGATTTTATTAGAAGCAATATATGAAAATTGCTTGGATTAATGTGTTAATCCTCCTCTTTAAAATGCTAATATCCATTTTATGCACATTACAGCTCAGTGTGCATTTTCTTTGATGCATGCAGTTGCTATCAATTAAATATAAAAAACGAGATTTGGCACCAGCTTACTAAATTACTGCAAGTTTTCTGTTTTTCTTTCCTAAAAATTACAGTTCTTCCTACTTGTATTATTTTCATGGATTTGTGTTGATGATACTGATATTGGGATCCAGGAATGTGTGTGTAGTGTATAAAGAAAAGATAGATACAAATATATATATGGAATTTATACTTCAAGAACTTAGCTTTTGACATAGAAAGAACTTATTAAAAGCATGGCTCAAGATGATATGCTTAGTTAGACCTGAAAGGAGTATCTTTTTATCATTTTTTAAATTTACATCAAGCTCGTACAATGCTGGGGTGTATCTGGATAACCAGATCCTCAAAAAGCCGCTCAGAAAGTTAATTTTCTAGCTTTTACCCAATCTCACTGAAGGATTTAATTGATATTTTTAATGGAGCTGTGAATCAATGCTGCAAAGGAATTGTCTCTAGAGGTCTAGGATATAATGCATTTCATTTTTTAATTTACTTTTTTATTTGTCATTTTCTTCAAAGGATTTTTATAGGCTGCGGGTTTTCACTGTTTGCAAACAGGCTATGCTCCTTCTTAAGCATATGTAAAGTATTCAGGGAGATAAGTAATTTATTAAAATCTACCTAATTTGCCGTGATATATTAAATCTCTGCTTCAGTGATCACAGACCATTTCATTTAGAGAATTAGGCATTCCCTCTTTGTGTGATTAAAGCTCTGGAAAATGAGTTCTTTGCTCCTATTTGTGAACATTCAAAGCCCGCTAATGGCAAGAAGATGGAATAGATTATGAGACAATTTATTACAGTTCAACAGAGAAAAAAAAGCAGCTATAATGCAAAAATGCAAGTATGAATATCTGCATATAGTTTGAACCATCTGTGCTCTAATGGCTTCAATAATGACTCTCGTCTTTAGGAGGCTTTGAAATGACATCCGTACAATATTAATTTGTTGATGTACATTGTGGGACCAGTAGAGTACGATCTGACCACAGAAATCTATAAATCCTGTTCCTACCACCGGGCCTCCCTGTGTGGGGACCGCCATCTCCAAGGAGACTCATGCTCTCATCAAACTCTGCAAATCTCCATAATAACTCATTCCTCTGGAACCTTCTAGAGACCACAAACATCTGCGGCCTAAGTCTCTCCAATCCTAGTAAACAGCCACATGTTTGTTGTCACTTCAGCTGGCTCTGAGCTCATCCTTTTGGCCTCCCCGTCCAGCTTTCTTTGGCTTTCATGCAGTTACAGTGTCATTAAGGCCCGTGAGACTCCCTGCAGTAATTCGAAACAGCCGGATTGTACCCTGGGATTAACTGAGTGGTTTTTGAGACATTTATTGTGGTATTCTCCCAGGAGGTTTGTATTATTGTTTTAAAACATTACATCCCAAACTAAATACCCTTTCTGTAGGGGCGGGGGGGCGGGGGGGGGAACCGGATTGCGCTGACTCCTTATCTGTAAGTGGAGAGGGGTTTTATTAGAATACTCCTAAGATCAAGTCAACAGTGTGGAATGCATACCTCTGATAGGATTAGAGAAATAGCCATGTTTCTGTCACCTTCGTGTTTGCCCTGATGGGTCATTAGAGACGGCTTTTCTAGTTTTAAAATTCCCTCCAACTACAGAAATGCTCGCAAACCTCATTTCCGTAAGTGGCCAAATCTCTGCTGACACGCTCGGAGTGGGCGCGTGGCCTGGGGTGCTCTCCTGTGGACGCTCCAGTTCCTGATGTTTCCTGATGTGTCCAAGGACGGTTCTTTCTTTTGTGTTGACCAGAGCACGTTGAAAAATTCACCACTTTCTGGATTCCAGGGCAACAGTCCCCTCTCGGTGAGCGTAGCCTGACCCATTCCATAGGGCTTAGGGGCAGGAGGGTGCCAGCAGGGGACTTGCCACGCAGATGCCCCAGTTTAAGGTGACGCTTGTGTGACCTCCAGCTGTTGGTGTGAACGTGCACACTGCACTCAGCACTTCGGGGCTGTGATGCTTTCAGTGTGGAAATATAAATAGAGATGTGATGTGGTATGTGGGAAAGTGTATTTTACATGGTTTTTTGCCTACTGTAGTAGAAATGTCAGATTCCCAGCCACTGTCATGAGAAGCAGTTGACAAAAATAAGTTTTATGGTTTACAGTGTGGTTTACGTAGAGAACATTTCTCTTCACTCTCAGTTTCAACATGTTTTCTAAATTATCATGGTTTATTGCCATTTAACTTAAATTAGTTTTTTTAAAGAATAAATAGAGAATATATGTAATCAAATAAAGAACAGCCGTATTGAAATCCTGCTGTTCCTGCCATTCATTTGTTACCACAAAATACAAATAATTCCTATGTGTTATGAAGAAGCGCGGGCTGGAAGTGGTCATGTGATGCGGGGGTTCTGCGTGCACCGTGTTCCCACGACAAAACATAAATTATTTTAGTAATCGGGCATCAAGAGCTGTGACAATGGAAACCACTTCTTACACATGTCCTAACAAGAATCTGATTAACATTTTTGTGGAAACGGAAAGTAACTTTTTTTAGTCAAACTGGCAGTATTGCTGAATTTAGAATGATTTCCTTATGCACTAGATAGCAAAATGCGAATCATGCCTGTGAACAAATGTGGCAATAAAATGTCATCTTTGTGTAGCATAAAATGACCAAGGGAGCGCTTTGGGGGATGTGAAATGACCAAGTGATTGACAATTATCAGGGTGATAATTCATCCCCAACGCCAAGAGTGCGGTTCAGTAAGTCACGTGTGCCCGAAGGCCTCTGCCTGCCCCCTCAAAGGCAAGCAAAGCCCCATTCCTGCCGATGGGGAAAGGCGCCTAATGAGGGCCACGCGAGGTAGCGAAGGCAGCCTTGCCTCCCCTTTGCTGAGCACAAAAACCACCTCCGGGTCAACCGGAAAGCTTAAGCACATCAAAGCTATAGGAACAAGTGTTTTAAAAGCGGAGTGTATGGAATTAGAAAACACCTCATCCCGATCCCTTTTATCTTACAAGATAGCATTTCCGCTTCCATTTCAAAGTGCCACCGGGGGACTGCATCTCACAGTCTCACCTCCCCCCGCCCCGCCCCCCCGAAAATCGAGCCAGAGTTCCTGGTGGTGTCACACCTTTGTCCTTGTCCTTTTCATTTCCCGTGTGGCAGTGACTAAGGTATTAAACACTGTTTCCTCTGCAGTTTTTCTTTAGGAATATCTGGTTCTCTCAGAACAGGGACGCCTTCCGGCTTTTTCTTCAGCCCTTTGCCCCTTCTCACCCTCGACTGAGATTCACCTTTCTTGTCTCTCTCTTCACTAAACACCATTAGTTTTCTTATTGAATTGAATGTACCATCTTGATCTTTAATTTTCTGTCATCTCTTCTGTTCACACCTACATTCTGCTGAATACCTCCTCCCCTTACTCATTTTTAGTTAGCGAAAGCACCCCCGGCTCTTCCTGGGGGGCTACCGCCACTTGAGATGCCAGCCCCTGCGGCCGCTCCGGGGGCCTTCCCAAAATGCTCCTTGTGTTCGGACCTATCTTAATTTGCCCTGACCGGTGTAGTTCAGTCAGTTGGGTGTTGTCCCGCAGAGCGAAAAGTCACCAGTTTGACCCCCGGTCAGGGCACAACCCTGGGTTGCATGTTCAGTCCCTGGCTGGGGTGCGTGCGAGAGGCAACTGGTCCATGTTTCCCTCTCTCCTTCCCTCCCCCCCTCTCTAAAAATAAAAATAAAAAGGCTTGCCTTCAGGTAGCATGGCACGGTCAGTCTTAGCCGTTATGAAACTAAGGGAACACCAAGCTAATTCTTGTATCTCTGCTTCTTGTACTTTTTTTCCACAGTGAAGTAACAGGGGCTGTAACTCAGAAAGTTCTCAGGAGTCACTGGTAAGGAACTGAAGCACAATGACTTTAATTTAAGGAAATGTGTTATTAAAATCAAGTTTTATTTGGTGTAAATGTTTTTGCCGTAATTGCAGATGTCATCATGAACAACAGGGAAAATAAGAGAAATTTTCAAAGAACACTTAAGAGACTACATACGGCATAGAGATTGAGAGACTTTTCTAAACAGGGGAGGAAAACAAGCTGTAAAATGAGAGAGAGATGGATTGAGTATGTAAACTAAAAGTTAAAATATGTGTGATTATTGTTCTAGGTTCTAATAGGACAAGAACTAACCCATTTTTACAAAATAACTAGGAGAAAAAACTCTACGGACTTTCAGGGGTGTCCATCCTTCTGGCTTCTCTGCACCACCCTGGAAGAAGAAAAGTTGTCTTGGCCACACATTAAATACATTGAGACACATGATCACAAAAAAAAAAAAAAATCTCATAAGGGTTTAAGTAACTTACAACACTGTGCAGGGCTGCATTCACAGCCACCCTGGGCCGCGGGGTGAACACCCCCGCTTTCTGTGTAAGTGGGGGCAACACCTCAGTTCAGAGGCTCCCACCAACGTGGAGGAAGGCAAGAGCTGGCATGAGAGGGGAGCATGAGGCAGGGTTGTCATGGCGGCAGAAGCCAGACCCCCGGGAGGGGC